GATGGTGCCCTGCTACCACTACAGATTGTTCTGACGAAGACCACAGTAGATGGATCCTGACAGAATGGGAGAAAAATGTGGAATAGAACCTCAAATTCCTAAAAAAAATCCAGACCTACTGGACCAGTTGAGACTAAAGGACTCCCCGAGACTATTGCCCTGAGATACTCTTTAAACCTTGAACTGAAACTACCCCCTGAGGTCACCTTTTAACTAAATAAAATTGGCTCACCAAATAAAGACTATCACCCGTGAGTACTACACTCCCTTAAAAAATCAGCTATATGAGACCAAACGGTCTACAATTGCTTTAAAAAGAAAAAAATAGATGAGAAGGTGAGGGGGCAGGGAAACTAGATTATTGGAAATGGAACAACCAGAACGGAAACAATGAGAATATTCACTCATTGTAAAGAATGTAACCAGTGTCACTCAGCAATTTGTATAAAAATTGTTGAATGGGAACCTAATCTGCTGTGTAAACTTTCACCGAAAACACAACAAAATATTATTTAAATTAAAAAAAAAATCCGAGTAAAAATAACCAAAAGTCAACTGACATTACAAACTCGGAGCTCAGGAGAAAGTCAAGGTTGCAGACACAGTGGTTTTAGTCAAAGATAAACCAAACCAAACCAAACCCGTTGCCGTCAAGTCAATTCCAACTCATAGCAACCGTGTAGTACAGAGTAGAACCATCCCATAGGGTTTGTAAGGCTGTAGTCTTTACGGAAGCAGACTGCCACATCTTTCTTCCATAGAGTGGCTGGTGGGTTCAAACCACCAACCTTTTGAACCAAGCGCTTAACCACTGAGCCACCAGGGCTCCCTTTTTAAAGATAGGAGAGTGAATTCAGAGGGTTGGGGTCTAAACCTTGGACAAGATTTATTGTATTAGGGTCAAAAGAAGATCTCCACCACCTCAGCATCTCTCACTGGGGCCGTTAAAGTCTTTTGTGTCAAAGCTGTCCCCACAGTGGCAGTCAAAGTGATCTATCCAAAACACATTCACAGTAGAGCCCTGGCCCCTTAGCCTGGCATGTGAGGCTCTCCATGATCTGGCTCCTCTGGAGAGTCATCACCAGCCCATCCAGCAACATTAATAATAATAACAGTTCAATTTTTAATTATCAAGCACCTTCTATACGCCAAGGATTCTGTTTATATATGTTATCTTCATTAATCCTGACTTCAGACTTGCAAGTTATGTTATTATCATTTTACACATGAGGAAACTGGGTTTCAGACAAGGTTACACAGCCTCTAGTATGTGGTAAAACTGAAATTTAACCCAGATCTCTCTCTAAGTACAAAGTCTAAGCTCTTAACCTCTTTGCTATGCTGAACTCCTTGTAGCAACCCAGACACGTCATGAAATTCTTGCCTCCCATGCCTTTCTTTGCTTAAACTTTCCCATGTGTCTGGCGTGTTCTTCCCTCCTCCCGTGTCCTCTTCAACTGTCTTCACTCCTGCTCAGTCTTTAAACCTCAGCTTAAGAGTACCTCAAGGGTGTTTTCCTTGCCCTTCTTTGCCTGTCTCGCCAGCTGAGTTTGGAGCCCGTTTTCTGGGCTCCCGTAGTCCTTGACAGGTACTCTTTCATTATACTATACATGTTATTATAAATGTCCAAGTTTTTGAGTCTCAGTCTTTCCATTAGACCAGGAGTCAGCAAACTTTTTCTCTAAAGGACCAAATCATGTTGACAGTTTAGATACCTTAGGCTTTGTAGGCCATATGGTCTCTTTTGCAACTACTCAACTGTTCGGGTGCACAAGCAGCCACAGAATACATTAAAAAATTAGTGTGACTGAATTCTAATAAAACTTTATATATGGACACTGAAATTGAACTTTCATATAATTTTCACATGTCACAAGATATTATTCTTCTTTTGATTTTTTTTCCCCAAACATTAGAAAATGTGAAAACCATTATTAGCTCGTGGGCCATACAAAAATAGATGGCAAGTCAGATCTGACCCATGGGCCTTAGTTTGCTGAGCCCTGCGTTAAAGCATGAATTTCTGGAAAGGGAGTGCTGACTCTAATTGACTTTTGTATCTCCACTGTGTGGCACATAGTAAGTGCTAAGGAAATAGTATTGACTGAACAATAAGGGCAAAGAGGGACATTAGACAAATGTAGAATTAGGGGAACCACTCAGTAGTAGTGTACCCCAGTCAAGGGAGAACTGTGTTTTCAGAAGGAAGGGGATTATTCTAGGGGTTTATCCTCTAGGCATAACTGCACACATATGCAGATATGTGTTTGGAGATGTTTGCAATACAGAAAGATGAAAAACAACCTGACCATCTGTATGGAATTGGTTTTGTGGTATATCCATAAAGTAAAATAGCCTGCAGTTGATCAAAAGAATAAAGTAGCTCTCTCTGTTGACTCTCTTCTAACCACTTTCCCCTGGGTCTACCCTGCAAGAAAGGCCAAGAGGAACAGTTAAGGCAGACAGCTGCCAAGCTGCTTGCAACAGAAGCCAATTCCAAAAAGCCACCATGGGAGAATGAGCCATCTCGTAGTCTGGGGTCTTTTCACGCAGTCATGGCATCAGGTAGAGCAGGTGAGGCGGTACAAATTCACAGCGTGTCATTTCTTCCTCTGCCTGCAACCACATTGTCTGGCTGCAGCTGAGATTCTGACAGCTCTGGCTCAGCATACACATCCTTACAAGGCATGTAAAATGCTTAACATGCAGGAGCCATCCTTAGTAAAGGCCAGCCATGGGAGGAAGATAGCTATTCTTGTAATAAGGAGATATAATGTATGGTCTCTTAGTGTTGTTGTGGGAATGGTGGTGATTATCCTTATTGGTTTGTGGCTTTATTTCAAAGGTCTGAGAAAACCAGATACCTGACCATTGACAGAACGGGCTGCCACTGGGTAGTCACTGTACCCAGATGTGAGGGACTAGGAATGCTAGATATTTACTATAGGTGACAGGGAATCCTCACTATTAATAACTCTGCACAGAGTGTGTGAGTGAAGACAATACAGTAGTCTGAAAGGAATGAGAGAAAAAAGGTATGATTGTGTGTAGGGATGTTAAAACATTGTTAAAAAAAGAAGTGAGACAGTTGTGATAGCATCACATAAGGGGAAAGGAAACTTACATCAATTTTTTTAGGAAATTAACAGAAACACAACCAGAAGTCTTAACCTATAAGAATCCATTCTACATTTTTCAAATAGTTCAGGATAAAATTTTCTTTAATTTTAACATTTATTTATTAGTAGATGGTACTAGATTATTTAAAAAGTACAATAAAATAAAATGTTACTTTACATATTTCTAGACTTTGTCCTTTTAGCACTAATGCATGTTTTTTTCTAACATTTATAGAATACCTACTGAGTACAGAGGAGTCTGGGTGGCACAAACAATTTGCAATCAGCTGCTAACCTAAAGGTTGGCAGTTTGAACCCACCCAGTGGTTCTGTGGAAGAAAGGCCTGGCAAACTGCTTCCATAAAGATTACAGCCAAGAAAACCCTATAGAGCAGTTCTACTCTGTAACATATGGGGTTGCCATGAGTTAGGGGCCAACTCAATGGCAGCTAACAACCACTGAGTACAAAGCACTGTATATTTCCAAAGTCTGCTAAATACCTTTCTGTAGTAAAAAGTTTCATGGTCCAATATGTTTGGGAAACACTGGCTAAGCAGTGTTAATTAGATTTTTTCATTTTGGAATTTCTCAGCACCTTTCATGTATTAATGTGATTTGACCATGGAATCATCCTTTCTGGGAGCAACTGCAGGGATTATTAAGAAACATAGTTGGAGAAATACTGACTTAGACCTTCCATTGAATTATTGTTTCATCTTCCGATTTGCTTCAAACCCGTTTAGTCAAAGGTATTCTCAAATAATAACCAGATCAGCACATTTTTTGAGAGTTCTGCTTTACCAAAAGAGGTGACAAGTAAAGGACATTGATAACAAATTTAGGAATATATTGTGTAATTTGTCAGTGCTCTGGAAAATGAGTTTTGATAATTCCCTGGGCCTTGTCTTTTAATAGATGAACAAGAAACAGTACTTCATTGTTAGAGGTACTGACAATTTCTTAGTGCTGCTGTAACAGAAGTACCACAAGTGCATGGCTTTAACAAACAGAAATTTATTTTCTCACAGTGTAGGAGGCCAGAAGTCTGAATTCAGGGCACAGGATCTAGGAGAAGGCTATCTCTGTCCACACTGGGGGAAGTCCTGTTTTTGCTGGCTTGTCTCTGTGCCTAGTCTCTTCCTTTTATACCTCAGAAGTGATTGGCTTAAAACACCCTGCGCTGATATGGCCTCATTAATATAACAAAGAAAACCCTATTCCCAAATGAGATTACATCCATAGGTATAGAGGTTAGGATTTACAATACATATATTTTGGGGGGACACAGTTCAATACATAATGGTGACCATATGTCCGAACTGGGATGCCTTGAGATTGGAAGGGGTTTTTGTTAATAACGATGCAGGGACCATAGGCATAAACCAGGACTATCCCAGGCATACTGGAATGGTTACCCTAGTTGCAGTGTAATCTCAGTGGTTCTGTACAGTTTAATCTGGCATCTTAATTTACCTCAGCCCTGATTCTTGACTTCAGTAGCCCATTCCCCAAAGTCAGAGTTGATTGATTCTTGGCTGATTCCCAGGCTCTGGAATGTGTGAAGGATTCTGGAATCATTTGCAGCACTAATGCTTTAAACCCAAAATGGTGGCTTTAAAGAATAGAATTGTATACTTAACAAATGGTTTTCAAAACGGATAAAAGTAGAACTGTGCTTATTCCTGACAATTAATGCATGTACTTTTAAAAATGTATGTCTCCCGGAGAATTTTACCTCAGAGTGCCAAGACTATTAATTCATACTATCAAAATTGAAATGGCATTTACTGTGGAAATATTTGTGAAACTAAAGCAGATAGAGGAGAATTGTTTCACATTATACTTAATGTCTGCTGTCCTTTTTTTCAATCTTTTTACAGTTTTTTGAGGTGCCATTTGATTCAAACATGAATAGGACAAAGAACAGACCTCTGGTTCGTGGGCAGATCAGGTAAATCATGAACATAAGTCTCTTCCACATTGTCGAACATTCAGTTGCTTGTTCATCCTAAATCATTTGGCAGTCTTTTGCCTTGAGTTCTGAAGTTAAAGCACTGTACCTTCAAAGGGACAAATTGGTGTGGATACACAGTACTTTTCATACCAGTATGTACTACAAAGCACTTAAGACTGATATAAAATTTGCAGTTGTATTATGGGAGTAACTTTTAGATTACTTTATTGAATGTTTCACTTGTAGTGACTGAAGATAAAAACATTCCGTTAATACAAATGATTTTTAGACAAATCTATATAGGGTCACCGAGGAAAGATATGTCTGAAAAGTCATTTTTTCAGATAAACCGATAACGCTGTTATATGCCAAGTAAAGTACTGCCTCCATTACTCTCCTTTCCACCAAATTCAATTAAGTGGAACTAAAAGGCATATAAATATTTTAATATCACTAATGGTTAATAATTAAACATTTTACTTCCTGAACCCTCTAAATCGTCATTTTAAGATATTTTTTTGAATCTAATGTGTATCACAAGCCTAGAACAATAGAAAGAGCCAAATGGTTTATACTGACTGTCCTAAGTTCTCTTTTCATATTTCCAGGCAATGCCCTCATGGAGCTTAAAATTGGAGTAGCACTTGTGGATCAAATTATCATACATATTAAGTAAAATAAATACAAATGCAGATACAGTCATATAGTCTATGCAAATAAATGATATTTAATATTAACTGTTTTTAACCATTTAATTCTTAATAAATTTAAAATACCATTATATTTAAAAAAAGGGAAATTTATATAGTGTCAGATTTAAGAACAAAAACTTCATGTATACCTAATATTTTATTTCCTTTTTTGAAGTATAAACAAAACTATGTGTTATGTTGATGTTTTGAAATTGTCACAAGTCCTTTTGTGTGAAGTGGTTTATCTTTAGAGGGGAGAATGTGACTCTTGTTACCCATCTCAGAAGCTAAAAGCTGTTCTTGCCACTGGTCACATCACAGGTAAGTGATTTGGATCCGAATTTATGTCCACTCATTTATCCTCAGTAAACTCATACACTCCTTTGGAACCAGGGGGAGTGTAGGAATACCGCCAGCAAGTGTAGTCATTAGGAAAATAGTGATAATCTGTGCCCAAAGGAGCCCTGGTGGCGTAACTGTTAGGCACTCAGCTGCTAACCAAAAGATTGGCAGTTCAATCCCACCCAGTTACTCTGAGGGAGAAAGACCTGGCGATCTGTTCCTGAAAAGATTACATTCTAGAAAACCCTATGGGGCAGTTCTACTCTGTCACACAGGGTCTCTGTGAGTTGAAATGGACTCAACGGCACCCAATGACAACAGCAATCTTTGCCCAGTGTAGTCCATTCTTTCTGCTTTAGGAAAGTAAAGTCTGTTAGTATGTTCAGGCAGGGTCATCCTGTCCTTCGTGGTTGTCACTGGCAATGTCCTTCTTTTTTAAAGGAAGGGAGGTTACTTACTCTTTTTAAATTATAAGTTCTTTTGTTTGCAAGATGGCCCACGCAGATTTTTTTTTTTTTTTGTAATAATAAACCTTAACTGGTATTTTAGAGAGCAAATTATAAGCCTGAAGAAAATAGACACAAACTTATTTTTATAGCTAAGGTGTACTTTATTAAATAGGTACAAGGAACTGTTATGAGTCCGGAGTACAAATCTTATATTGAGAAGTATATTTTAGGACTGAAGACTTTACATCTCGCCAATTGTCATGGATTGAATTATGTCCCCCCAAAAATGTGTGTAGCAATTTGGCTGGGCCATGATTCCCGGTATTGTGTGATTTTCCTATATGTTGTAAATCCTGCCTCTTTGATGTTAATGAGGGAGGATGGGTGGCAGTTGTTTTAGTAAAGCAGGACTCAATCTACAAGATTGGATTGTGTCCTGAGGCAATCTCTTGAGATGTAAAAGAAGTGAGCAGAGAGACAGGGAGGACATCATACCACCAAGAAAGCAGTGCCAGGAGCAGAGTGTGTCCTTTGGACCCAGGGTCCCTGTGCGAAGAAGCTCCTAGTCCAGGGGAACATTGATGAGAAGGCTGACAGAGAGAAAGCCTTCCCCTGGAGCTGACGCCCTGAATTTGGACTTTTAGCCTACTTTACTGTGAAGAAATAAATTTCTCTTTGTTAAAGCCATCCACTTGTGGTATTTCTGTTATAGCAGCACTAGATGATGAAGACGCCAATTAATATTTATTATAATTTAGTAAAATATTGTCTGCTACACAGATTTTTTTTACAAAAGGGTGGCCGTATAGGGTGTAGTAGAAAGTCTTATAAGCTATCCATTAACATTTATTTCTCAGCTTTAGTGGTCCTCATGCTATTGACTATTTAAATACAATGCTTAGCCAGTTTATTTTGCAATTTTCTTTTTGGTGTTTACTACCAGCTTTGATTTGGTGTAATATACCTTGTTGATTCTATGCAACTTTATAAACTACTTTACTATTTGGTATGTGAAGTGTGAGTCCCTGTCATTGTTAATGGACAGCAGTATTGTAAGTCTGGGAAAGAATTCCTTTGAAAGTCTTGTGCTGATGACAGCTATTTCAGCCTTTGTAAACAGACTGTAAACACTTATGGAAACAATGTATTTCGTTAGTTTTTTCAAGTGATTGCAGTTTACTTTGAAAATTGAAATGAACAAAATTATATTCTGAAGAGTAAAAGTAATGTAGTGACACTTACAGAAAGAAACACATGCATGGACAGGTTGTTCTGTGATGTTCTGAGGAGCGGGGACCCCACAGGAGCCCTTTGCTTTGTGCATGACCGCCTTCCTTTGTGCTTTTAGTCTTCTCTTCAAGAAAAACTTGGTGGAGAGATAGTGGGTGCAGAACGCCTGATAGAGCTGACAGGGAAGATAGTGGGGTTTTTCAGTTGTTCAACTTTATTCTTTATTCCAGGAAGAATCTGAGGCATCCCCAGACACTTTTAGTAAAATAGAAAAAATTGTGTAATGAAAGTCATGATTAGGGAAAATAGAATGTGGGTAAATGCTAAGATCACAAGAACAGTTTATCAAATTCACATAGTTAATAAGGTCGAGCAGTAAATTTCATTCACCATCTTCTGCTGACATAGTTACATCATGATGATAAAGCATCACATGCACTGTTTGTACTTAATTCTCACTGTCGCACCATGAGGCAGAGATCTCACTGTCGCACCACGAGGAAGAGGCTGTTGAATTCTCGCAATATTCAGGGGAGGAAACTGAGGCTCCAAAAGAATAAGTAACTTGCCTATGCTGTTATTCTGGGGAAGTGGCAGAACCAGAATTTGGCCCTGGTCCATTTAATCCCAGACCCTCAGGTCCCAACAAGTACATAGAACTGTCTCTCAGAGACTATCTGTCCATACAAAGAAAGGACCCACTCAGGGAAGCCGGAACATCTGCCTCTTGGTTCTTAAAGAGTAGGGGACACTGGCTGATGATGGTAGAAGAATATCATCAGCAACTTTTGTAAAGGAGAGCAAATAGCAGGCATCCCTTGGTGCAAGCCAAAGACAAAATACTAGAAAACAGGTCCCCATGAGAGCGTTTTAGAGAGTATGGAGAAGGAGAGGGAACTCTTGGCCAGACATTACAAGCCAAAGTCGCATCTCTGTGGTTCAGCTTGATCCAGGGAGTAATCCAAGACAGTGAAAGAAGAATAAAGGAGAGGAGGTGTCCGTGGTATGTGAGTATCGGGTGATGCCAGAATCAAGAGATAAAATAGACAAGGAGATCTGCCACACGGAATGACTGTACAATGGGCTAAAGGTTGAGTGACTGCATGCTGGGAAGCCAGGGCAGTCCTGCTTTATGCCTGTTGTCCCAGCAGAATTATTGAGGGTGTCCCTGTCATTCTCCAGAATGTCCAGAGTGATGATAACTGTAGGCCACCCTTTATAAAGGGGATGATGATGATGATGATGTTCACTGAATTTCTTTATTCTTAAGGCTATTTCATACAAATTCCAAAAGCTTTTTTTGCCTGGAAGAGAAAACAAACAACACATAAATGAGAAGTACCATGTATCTTAATCAGTTTGTGGATAGACTTTGTAATACATACCCCTTCTAAATAGCATTTTAAAACTACACTCAATGTTTTTATGTTTTCCTACGATTGAAAACAATAAATGCAGCCAACTGACATGTTTGGAAATTTCTGGCAAAAATGTCATGGTTATAAACGGTTATTGTGAGGAAGGAATTGAGCTGAGAGCTTCCTGTTATTCTCTGGCAAAGAGCACACCTTGAAATTCTTACGTCTCATATCAGAAATTCACATTGAAGGGTGAGTAGACCCACTTTAGAAGCTGAATCTACAAACTCAAAGGCATGTAGTGAAGATAAATGCCGGAGAGTTTACTTCCTTGTTGGAAAATTGGATTCAATGTGATCCAGCCTTAAGATAATGACAGGAAAAAGTTCATTAGCAATTTTTTTTTTTTTTTTTTTTTTTTAATTTCTACGGTAGAAAATGCCTCAGTCTTCCGATATTCTTCATATGGTCGTCATGAACTAAGTGAAAAATGTTATCTAAGTTTGGGCAAGTCACTTAATTGATCTTTCCATAGTGCTACATCGTCATGTGTAAAATGGGATCATAATTCCTATCCCATTCATTTCATAAGGTTGTTGAGGGTATAACAATAAGATCGATAAAATATGTAAATAAAAGGGGAAGAGGTTTAAAACCCTAGAAATATGCAGAGTGGTTTACAGAACTTTCATCTGTTGTCAAAATTTGCTTTAAAATATAAATATTTAGTGCTTATCAGGTGATAACATAAAAAACAAATTCAAGTTACTTTTTTTGTTTGTTTATTTTATTTTATTTTGTTGTTGTTGAGAATATACACAACAAAACATACACCAATTCAACAGTTTCTACATGTACAGTTCAGTGACATGGATTACATTCTTCCAGTTGTGCAACCATTCTCACCCTCCTTTTCTGAGTTGTTC